ACACACCCATGCGCACGACCAGGAAGAGGGGCAGAGTGGGCTGAAAGTGGGTTGAGGTGGGCGTGGCCGGTGCAGAGTATCTACTGGCACGCCATTTCATCATCATCAAACGGCAGCCACAGTGGCGGCTACAACTGCGACCTGGCAAGACGGCATCCGTTTACCCACCCGAATTTCCCCCCGATTTCCCAACTCACCCAGAATTTCCCGGTCTGATGATATGCAGGGGATTCGAAATAGACAGAGAGACGGACAGAGTGAAAGCCTTTCCCTCTAACTTTGAAACGCACGCCAAGGAATTTTGGCCTTCATATTGCAGCAGTATCATTGCCCCAAACGAAACGCATCCACCAGATCAACTTTAATCACCCAATGAAGTGCAGGTCCTGCTTTTGAAGGACTGTCAGGAGTTCTAACTAAAAGTATTTTAGCACGCTCTCGAATGAGACAAACATTAAATTAAAATAACAGTGTGGATATTTGTTGGACCTTCAAACTACAAAGTAAGTAAATCCTTTTTTCAGTCTGTATGGATTTAAATAATAATGACTACCTTTACACAAAGTTCTAGAATATAATGTTGATATAAAGATATAAATATTCAATACAGATTAAGTTGCCAATGGAGTAAGTTGTATTATTTAAGTGGTAACTTTCAAAAAGGAAAAACCGTTTACTTTAACTAAGTTTGCATCTTTCTCCTCTCCAAATATAAGTAACTAACCTTTCAATGTCGCCCATTAGAGCGATAAAACCCAATTGTCAGACATTTGCAATTATATTTGGTTTTTCCCGGAGCGAAACAAAAGATCCGCCAATCCTAGCCAACCCCCTCCCATTTTCCGGTTGCCCTTTTGTGCAATTTGGAGCGTTCGGTTGCAGCGATTTGTGTTTTATTTCCGCTGTGTAAATCGCAGTTACAAATGCAAATGTAACTAAACCAATAATATTTCCAACTGGAACGGGGAAAACTGGGCAACTAACTAACAAAACGGGCAGCAGCTGTGTCAATGTACTGGAAAAAAAGAGGGTAACTTTTCACTTTTATCAGAGCAAATAAGATATTTTAACTAATTATCATTATTTTATTCAACCTTAACAAAACAAAGTTAAATTTCAAAACAAAATATTTTCCTTTACTTCATTGTAAATCTTTTGCAACAAACACGGAAAAGTTAGATGCCTAAATAGAAGTTAATTTTTAAAATTACTTGTTTTTCACTGTGTATCCTTGCTATTTGTTCAACATGACTTCGCAGATGAGAGTAGCTAGGAAAAACTGAACTGGGTTGGGGCGTCAATATGCAACATGGCTTTTCCATACATGACCAGCAAGTCGGTTGCATTTTTTACCGAAGCGAGTGGCAAATTCGAGCTGCAGCTCCGCCAATTCCGACGCCCTTGCTAAAGTTAATTGCCGTGCAATTTTTGTATGCATAAATAACGGTAAATTTGTTATACACATCATTTTGATTGCACTCGCTAAATCATCACAACAGCAGATGACGGAAAACATTTGCTGGCCCCGTGGCCAAATGCGCGTAAAAACAGTCCAAACGACTCAAAAAGACCGGCAAAAATCAGTAATATTTATTTATACGAAATGTGCCAGTGCAACGAATTTTGATTTAAATCAAATAAAATATTTAAATATCAAAATGTTAGCCTCCTCCGAATGAATAATGGCAAAATATTTTCACAACTATTTGGTGGGGCGGTCGACCCTCCATTTCGGATGAAATATTAGCACAAGCTTCGAAATAATCGTTCGCAAATTGCAGGCTGTATTTTTTAAATGCATTGTATTAACAGCGTTTGCAGTCAGTCATTGGGCGAATAAGTGCAGTTGTTCAATCACAAACTAAATGGCCACTGTAGTAAAGCTTAAAGTCGTGGAACATGAAGTGCTTCTACTGAAAAGTCAACATGTTTTAAGTGTCTGGTATATCTGTTCTCTGGGATTTCCAGGAACATAATATTTCTAATGTAGAAAGGTAAAATAAGAAACATTAATACTAATATATATCACCTCTTAATGAAAACGATAACTGCATCGATTTTGCGATGAATCATCGTTAGGCATTTCACAGTAAGTGATAACTTATTTATACAATTTTTGAAGACATCAAGTACAGGGCAGAACTGGAGCCGCGCTGACATTTAATCTTATTGATTGATGACAGACTGTCAGAGTGCGGCCCCAAGGAAGAGCCGAGCAAAAAAGCGACGACGGCATGGCAATCGCACTTAGAACTGTTTGCAATCCCAAAAAGCGACGACGAAGTGCAACACATTGCCGGATAAAGAAGCCGCCGAGGCAATGCCAAGTCGAGCATCAGAAAACACGCCACAACCATAAAGACTTAAAACACAGGGAAAATGCAATCAGAACAGTTTAGTTACATAATTTTAATTTTTATTATTATTATGAAGATTATGTAGGCTCTTTATTCTAAATTATCAACTGTAAATACTAATCTTTCATTTATTTCTAACATTTCCTTTACTCTACTAAACTCATTTCAAAATAGAAAAATATGGCCTGTTGAGTTTCATATTTCACAATTTGAAAACAGCTTTTTCGGCCAGTGCACTTGTACACACCAGGCAGACTGGCAGCTGTGTAAAATTCATCTGTCATCGCGTGTGTAGCGCCAAAGCTTATGACGTTAATCCTTTAAATGCGCCAAATGCATGCAAAACTTTCCAACTGCAGTCCTAAGAGCATGGCGTATGTGTGTTTGTGCTTCAGCTGCAGATTCGTCAGCGGGCTGAAGCTTTCGCAAATTGTAGAAATTGTATGCCTTGGCATGTGGAAAAGCGGGGAAAACTGGGAGTGGTGCTGGAGGTGTCAACTTGTGTGCGGAGGTTTTGTATCTGCGCGACAAAATCAACCAACCGAAAGCGTTCAATCATCGTTAGTTACCATATTCCGTGGCAAGCTTCCTCCCAACTTCCCAGTCTTGCAACCTTTCAACCATCCAACTCCCGATCCCAAAAGAGTGGCGGCCCAGGTAAGCCGAGTCGTAAAATAAAACGTACAAACAGCCCCAGAAATAGAAGCGAATCCGAACAGAAAAACAGGAAAAACAGAAGCAAAAAAAAGGAAAGTAACACGACGAGCAAGGATACAGCCAAAGTTGCAAGAGTTGCCAAAGGAGAACTGCATATTTTTGCGTTCGTTGGCATAAACTGGGTTAGATCGCGCACTTAATACAAATTCATGAATATTTTATAGACGTTTCGTGCCAGCTAGGATGAGTGGTAAAAATTCAGGCAGTGGAGAGGTTTTCACGTAATCAAATTCAAATTACAAATGCCAAAAGAGGACTCCTAGAAGAGCAGCCATTTGCTGCAGACGTGGCTAAAACGGGAGTTGACATCAAGAATTTTTGATTTAACCAAGTGCATGATCTATGACAGCCAATGTGTCCCGCACAAAGACAGCCAGCTACAGCTCCAAGCTCCATGATGGGACAGAGGACCCACAGTTGGTGAGTTCGAGCACTGGGAAAAAACCCGAAATCAGGCTTCAAAAATGTTTATTTCTTCTTCATTTGATTAATCTCTGGCAATTAAGGTTAAGAGTAATAAATGCTAGATCCGGCTGCAGTTTTCCAACTGTCTAACATCGAAGTATAACAGTTAAGTATTTAAAATCACAAATAGACAATCTACAAGATCTCCTCAAACACATCAAATATCGGTAAGACACAGTTTCATTAATCATTTCATAACTTTTGTAACAAATATGGGACTTTCCAACTTCTTTTTTATATGCTAAAATAACTATCCGATCTTCTAAGATCTATATAAGAAACGATTCTTCACATTACCAATTCCTGAAGACTTTTTGGGGAGTGTCGGATGACTGCGAGCCGCATTTGCTTGGCTTGCTCGTCTATTGCCAGTCAAGAGTTAACACGAATCAATTACGCAGACACACACACACACAGGGGGCGAATACTTTCCCGGAAAACTCGAAAGATGGATGCAGGGACATAGAGATGGAGATGGAGATGCAGATAGAGTGGAGGTGGGGACACAAAGAGACAGAGCCAGAGCTATGGACTGTCGACTGAGGACTGTGGACCATCGACTCAACGACTGACTGACTGGCAGACTGACTGGATGCGAAGAACTTGGCTGGCTGCTGCTGTCAAATGACATTTGACTTGGCTGCTGGGCCAAGGATTTACAATTTAAAGCAAGTGGCCAATAAACCAGATGAACGACCATTCGAATCCCAGGCCCCAATACCTGGGGTTTCTGAAGAGGTCCAGAATATTTGACTGACGTAAGTGTATCCCCAGTGTGTGTGCTCTATGTGCGACAGTGCTCAAATGCCGGAAAAGCGCTCAATGCCAAAGCAATTGGGTTTATGGCCCTCTATGTTAGTGAGTCTCTCTCTATATATATGTGTGTGTGTGTGAGTCCGAATAGTGGGTAACGGTAAACGATGGCCGAAGGGTAATAAAAACCATAATTACAACATAAATGACAGATGTTACACCGTCGCCGGGGTAGGTACATACTCGTACATGGTTTGGGGCACAGATAGCCGGCCAAATAAGTGGGGAGCACACATATTAACAGCTATTATCAAACTATAAAGCTCAAATGGTTGGCTATTGTTTCAGGTGATTAAACGAGAGCTAATTGATGGCTGCAGCACACAAGGAAAATAACAATCACAGACAGATGGAATGCGAAAGACCATAGCGCATATGCCGGAACTCAAAATTTAATTTCAATTCATGGTATAAAACTGGAGCTCAGCTTTTTAAACCAATCTTAAGATGGGATCTTAATATTTCTTATTTGTGCTATATCTATGTTTTCCCAATGTTACCAAATACTGAAAGAAAATGAAATGCTTAATTGTGTTAATCTATGTTTTGTTACCAAATACTGAAAGAAAATGAAATGATGAAGTCTCATACATTTGCAAAACTCAAAGCGAAATCTACCTGCCAAAGTTAAAGTAAAAAAAAAATGAATAATTGAACAGAGGCTTTATTCATTTCCAAAACGATTCTTTTACACAAGAGGATATTGGGGAAGGGTTGCCACTCCGCACATGTTGTTGGCGTTTCGGGCCAACTTGAAGTATCCACTCTCGCCCCAGGATGTTCCAAATGAGTTCTTGATCAGCCAGTAGTCTCCCCACTTCGGGTGGGTTCCAAAGCCCACGACGAGAACGGAGTGCGTGAGATCGTCTTTAGTTGATCCACATGACGGGATCTTAAGGATGCCACCGAAGTACAGATCGAACTCCTCATGAAGATGGTCGATGGATACTGCCACGGGACCAATGTTGTACACCACCTCTGCTAGTTCCTTTTCATCACCTTCAGTCAGGGTTACATGGCCGCGTATGGTGCCTGCACTGTTTTTTGGGTCCCAGTGACACTCATCCTTTTTGGGTTGGTAAGGAAAGGATGCCTTAGTAGCGGTTCCAAATTGCCTCACGTAGTTGAAGGCGATGCTCACCCATCCCAAATTACATCCTTGGTTCGGATAGGGAACACAGTCAACGAAATGTTTGGGCGAAAGCGGCACCAACTTGCCGTTCTTTTTGGCCAGATGCGCCTCAATAACACCCGAGGAGGAGAAGGCCCAACAGCTCAGGCACTGGGTACCCTGATTTCCGACTTCCGAGATGTATCCATAATCCCTCCAGTCGATACCTCCGGTTATCTCGTCATAGTGCTTGTAGTTCGCCGGTTCCTTAACGCCCTTAGTTACTTCTTCCGTTGGCGGTGTGATCGACGTTCGATAACTGTAGAGAGTACTTTGATCTGTGTCGGAGTACTGGCTTATTCCCATTTTGAATGCCTCCAGGCCCTGGGAATAACGTTGGTTGTGGTCGGCAATAACTTGGACCCTCCTGTCATATATCGCCCGGTGGAAATTGTCCTTGTATTTGTAGTGCTTGTTGTACTTAGCCTTGTACTGGGCCCACTCCTCATCGCTCACCAAAGTCCATCCTAATTCCACGAGGAGTAGGAGGAGCAGTACTTGGACCAGAAGCAGACGAAGAGAGCTCATTGCGAACCGAACACGACAAATGATGATTTGAAACTGATTTCAGAGCTTGCCGAAAGCGAGTCCAGGCGGTGCACTCGAGTGCAATGCCTGCATTATCTGGGGTTATCTATTTGAACTGCCAATTGATTTGATTAAAGCTCAAGTTTAAAGAAAACGAAAGAAAAATAAGACATTATTAAAAGAAACGCCTTAGTCGAGTGCCGCGACTATGAGATAACCTTTACTGTGTTAACCAATTAAAAAAACAACATTGCTAGCCACATACAATTTTACTAGCACCATTTATAGTTAAAACCACAAAACACATGTTAATAACCAGACGTCCTTGCCATGCCTTGTAAAGTTCGAAGTCTTCGCATTTTGTGTGCGGGACAGCAAGCCATCTTTAAAACAGATGGACGGCATATAGGAATATAACTTTACAAACTTATTTTGTTGGTGGTGATATGGTAAATATGTGACTGCCACTAAAGCAAAAATAATTTAAACACATACAAATGGGAATATAAGATAAGAGAGCGGTGCCTTTTCTTAAGATTATAAAAATATATGCAGTTATGTCTCTTCCCACATCCCCCAAGCATTTAACTTAGCCTTGTCATTCTCATAGTTAAACCTAGCTAAAGTTCTTGACAAAATAGTGGCCAAGAGGTTGTGGTGGTTCAAGCTGTCAAGCTGTCAAATTCCCCTTAACATACACACACTAACCTAAACCTTAATGACATATCCCACTTTTTAAAATCACTCCTTCTAGAAAAACAATCACACCTAAGTACCTCCGCCTGGTACCAAAAAAAAACTGAACCTGCCAACGACTACCCCACCACTCAAAAACTCTTCCCTAAACAGAAAAGAGCAAATCATCCAACTCCCACTATCTTGAAAGATCGAAGAACAGCTTTGTGCCCATTGTGCAACATCGCCCAGATGGACATTCATCATATCTTTTACACCTGCCCCTCCCTCTCCACGGAAAGATCCCTACTCCTACAAAATCCAGATTCAATCAGCGCAATAGCTTGCTCCACAGATACAAACTCCTTAAACATTCTTAAGTTCCTAGACCTCTCCCGTATCACCTCCGAAATGTTATTAATCACATATTTTGTAAAAATAATGTAAATAGAAAGCCCTGGTAATATTTTGTTTATATACTTTAAATTTATACAAGCCATTTTCCAATTTTAGAAGCTTAAGTATTATGCTCCATATGTTAACTCTTATTGCTTATTTGAAACTCATTTATATAAAAAAATAATTAAAAATGATAAAATGATAAACATTTGTAAGCACTCGTCCCTTTTATTGAAGTAAAAAGATCTACACTAAGGCTTAATTCAGGTATATGAATTTATATTAAATAGTTTAATGAAATAATTCAAAATGTTATAAAAATATTGCACTTAATGTTTAAGGCTTAGTATTAAGTCTTAGTATTTAAGTCAACCTTTCCCTGAATTTTCAACCACTTTATGGTAAAAGGTTGAGTAATATATTATACAAAATGCACAAAAAAGATAAATCAAATAATTTAAGAATTCGTTGTTGAATTAGAATCAAAAATATGTATTATCATTTAATTTATTAAATAGTTCAGAATCCTTTTGCACCAGATTAAACTACTTTTACGGAAACTGATTTTTCGGAAAAAGTTCCTTTCATAATGAGATCTTGTTAAGAAGAAAATATTTTTACATTGTTAGAGAGTATTTTCCGTCAGTGCAGAATCCGCTTAAATCATCTGAATCCTGTTTACCTCAACCACAACCGACGACCAGGCAGGAACGATTTCAATTAGGATGCACCGATGTACGAGTATACTGAACCAAAGATAACTGCGCGATTTTGGATTGCATATAATCAATGCAAATACCCGACAATGGCCAATGGAAGCGGCCCCGCTATCAGTAGTTCCCCATCGCCACCATTGCCACCATCTCCACCGAAGCTCCGCCACCGCTGAAACCAACGCAGCGGCATTCAAAATAGATGCACCACTCAATCCGAGGGATACTGCTTTTTGGGCCGGCGGGACGAAGAGGAGCACTGGTACTGCATTTTGCGTAACTCATTAGGACCTTTCCTCATTTGGCGATGGTCGAGTAGGCGGACCGAACCAGTCAATGGCAAACACCCCGCAGCGGAACTGAAACCGTAGGATGCGAGTGGCAGCGATTCCTGTTCGGAGTCCTGTCGCATTGATCAGAAACGCTTTCGATGGATGTATCACAACTGCACTTCCAAAAACGTCCATCAACTGTCTTCCTTGAAGGCATTCGAAAATTATGCTTCCAGTTTTAGATGATTTTAAATATGTTTTATGTCAACTTTTGTGAGCAAAACATAAATGTTAAAAACAAAATTATATCTAATGAATTGAAATTGTATAACTAAAGGCTTACTGCAAAATATTCTTAGACAAAAAATTAAACAGAAATTTCTAAATAACAAAATCCTCTGTGCGCTTTATAGGCTAAAAGCCAACGAAGTAGTTAAATAAATTTTAAACTTTGGACTTCTTAATTATAAATCTATTTTTTTTTTTGGTTTTCCTTAATATTTTTAAAAAGTGAAAAGTAATAAAACAAGTTTTAAAATTGAATGGTAAATATTTCTTTCGGTATGAGGTATGAGGATATCGCTACCATGGTTGCAATTTCATTCATCGGCGTTTGCACATCGTCAGCTGGAACGTCGATGCCTTACATTGTGAATTTTTCCGCCCGCTAAATTGTGGTTTGGGGGTTCAGTCCTCCCACCATGCCCTTACCCACGGCCACACCCACACCCGCAGCCTGTTTCCCAGACCCCCAATTTCCTATTGCATCGCTGTGTGTATGTCACGTTTTCCACTTGCATGACCACTTCCGCGGCAGCTTTCTTTTGGTCTCTTGGCTGTTGGCAGGATGTCTTCCATCACGGCAATCCGAAATGAGTATAAAAATGGGAAACTATCCAGGAATCTTATTAGCCCGTCCTCTTATTTTCTTACTAATACAATTAACTGTTTAGATTTGCTAGTCAAAGTAGTTCTATGAAGTGTTTGTTATAATCTGTATTTATAACTAAAAGAATTTCTCTATTTTAGGATAACTAAGTTAATAAGTTAAAGAAAAGTTCGTTTTTAGATTTTTGCCAGAATCTTCTACCCTAAATAAGAGTCTCCAAAAAGCTAAAAAACTCAATACATTTATGCAAATTTCGTAGTTCCCCAAATTACTCCAACATGTAGACAATAAGTATATAGAATATCGTATCTCCTTATATCACGATTAGAGGTTCTCATTTACCTGAAGCACTTGGATAAATATGTTGGCCAACTTGGCCGGAATCCCCGTGGGGGAAGACGACCAAAGTGTTTCTTGCAAATCTTATCTGGGCATCAAATATGTACACACTGTCCGTCGTCGATTAATTAACACATTGTCCGCAGGTATTCTAGTGAAACTTTTCGTCACATCTCGTGATTAATTTTAATGGCCCACAAACTGAGGATCCCCACGGACTTCGAGCCGGTACGAAAACAGAAGTCACAGTAAGAGGAGGAAGGTAACGGATACCAATACGGAATACCTGGCCAAGAGCTGTGGTCAACGTTGATTAGCCGCAATCACTTTGGACTCCGCTGGGACGAGTCGTTAACTGTCGAGAGTGCTCCTTCGTCTAGTCGTTGGTCATGCATTTTCCATGAGCCCGGCACACGCACTCCTCCCAGAAGCTGAACTAACAGCCGTTTAGTGGACACTACTAGCCGCCAAACTACACTGAAAGGAACAATGCAGTTCTAAGTTATTTTTGTAAATATTAATATCTATGATAAGTTTATTAACGGATTATAAACAGGAAAGCCGCCTAATGTCGTATGCCACGACTTTCTGATATCCTCAATTCAGGCCCACCAATTCTGCAGTCAGATGGCGTATGAGCCACGTGCGTATGATGCGAGCGTCATCCGAAATTTATTCCACAGTGTAGAATCAAGAGAAGTGGCCACGCACTGCCGCAAAAACAAATGCTATCGACGGGCCACACAGTAGCCCCCACATCCCGTTCCATGGCGACTCCCATCCGGACTCGTACCTCTCGAATACATATTTAATAGAAAGAGCTTAGACGTGCCGGGGGCCACCAAAGAGAAATGGGGAGACATGTGGGTAGTTAAGCTGATTTCGGTACCTTTGTCTGCTGCTCCACAGAAGCTAATTAGAAGAACATGAATCTTTAACTGATCAAAACAGGCGAAGGCAGTGGGTATAAATTGTCGCAGACAGATATATATTAGGAGTCCAAAAGAGATTTCTAACAGCGTGAGCTTCATTATCCAGATCGGCTTAAAGGCTTTTCAACAATCAAAGAGTTTAAGATATTGAAGAGTTTAATTAAAAACATATTTCTTCTATTTTTTTGATACTCTAAGTAGGCAAATAAGCCATTAAGGATCTTCCTATTAAAGTCATAATAGGGATCTAAAAAATTTTACAAGTTTTATATATGATTTTAATGTTAAATCAGAACAGGGCTCATAGGTGCAACGTTAAAGGTCACAAATCCGAGTAAAATGCTATACTTTCCTTCAAGATTTCCCCTTATATATTTTAACCTCATTAAACTTGAATGGAATTCAGTGAAATTCGATGAATGGAGCACAAAAACAAGCCAGAGTTCACTTTAAATAAATGGAAATGGCTTGTTTAAGCCGTTCAAATCAAATTCATGGGAAATCCTTAAGTTGCTTTATTTCTAAGCTCACACTCGCTCAATTGAATTCGGCTTAATTTATACAATTGCATATAGTACATGTTTGTGTATTTTTGTTTGCCTCAACATAAATCTTAACAAAGCCAACAGCAATGCCAACAACAAATGCTGCTAACCATTTGTCAATTTTAAATACATTTATTGTATTTGCATGCCTGTCTAGTCCCCTCACAACGAAAGAAAAAGCAACAATAATTTAATAACCCACAGAGCGGCAGACACACGCTCGCAGAATGGACGGACTGGCATTCGGGCCAAGTTGCCTTGTTGGCCAAGTGTTCTGTCTATGTATTATTCAAATTCAATTATAAAAAACGCAATAAATAAAAAATATTTATATGCAAAGGAGATATGAGAGATAAAGCGCAGAGAGCAGCAAAAATATAACTTGTGTATCGAATACTCTAAGGACTTCCTGGCCAGAGTTAGTGTCGATTCCCCACTGAATATTAACGAAAGAATACAAGTTTAATTAAAAATATATTTATTCATAAATACTTATGTTAAACTTGAACGTTCTTTTAACAATAGACTTACAAACTCTTTACATATTTTTAGTTACCAGTTAACGAGAAATGACTACCCTTACAGGGTTTTGCTACAGTTTAAAATTAGATTATTTCACATTAAAAATATAAATAGGTTCTCCAAAATTGATCAGCCTTTCCCAATGCTAACTTTTCTTTCCCTTTCAGTACAACATTTTCGATGTCAATAATTTCCCAGATATCAGCAATGCCGCAATCCGTGATAAAGTTGGCATACCCTTTTCTTGTGGACCCGAAAACGTGCGGCAAATAGCTGGGGCAGCAAAACCGAAAAGGGAATATTTATTATTTGAAAAATACCTTGAGGCTGTGGCAAGCGTCGTGAGTTCATAAATAACATGCGGTCCAAAAATGGCCAAAATCAAGCGAAAAGTGCAGAGGGCAGCAAACAGAATTTGATAAGCGATAAGGGGCGGGCTCCCCTGTCCCCTGTCCCCTGCCCCGAGGCAGGCGAACAAATAATAATATTAGTAATAATAGTAATCAATGTGTAGTGTAAATAATAAATAACTGCTGTGGGCTCCACAGTGAAACGCCAATAAATTGATAAAAGATGATGAGCCGACGGACGGGACGGGGCCGATGTTGGATGGCCCATGAGCGATTAGCCCCGGCACGCAACAGCCGGGGTGAAGAGGCTCAGAAAGGTCAAAAGGAAGGCCCGGGACAAACACACTCGGCGAGATAGAAAGCATAAACAACATAAATTTATTTGCTGTTAGCCTAATGTTATTTATACCTTTCAATTACAATAACAGCAGGAAGAGGACAGGACTGGGCGGCGGGACTCGGGTCTCCGGTCTCGGCAAGGTAAATAATAAACCATGACCCATCAGCAATCAGCCAGAAAAGAGGACCCAGTTCCTCTTCCCTCCAAGTTCCAAGTCCCCCCAACTATCAAACATAATGCGTGCGCATAAATAACTGAGCCAGCCCCGCGAAAGGTGTGAATATTAAGCCGGTGGCAGCGCCAGTTCCCCAAAAATTTACGGTTGCCCGTAAAAGTTGCGCTCCAGTCATAACTCAAATTCATGCCTCCCTGGGGAAAGGGCTGCTTGATTTTGGCGCCCAACGCCGGCTCAAAATCGTCCGACAAATGAGCCAGCCAACCGCAGCAATATAATTCGGCAAATCTAGGGATGCAAAACGACATTAACGCGGGCTCCGCATCCAGGATTCTCATCCCCAAAAAGTGGCTGATCAATCATTTGGGGCCACCCAAGGTGGTTTTATCAACCAGTTAGACCTTAAAGATGGTTTTAAATTAATCCTCCAACGATAATTTATCAAAATGCTTTAAATGAGCCTTTCTTAACTTTACGTTATTTAATTATGAGTTTAGTTTAAAGTTTAAGTGCAAATAAGAAATCGTTAAAACACCTTTTTAAGCCCAAGTATTTGTAAAAAGTCCTCGAAACAGGATAATCCATTAAAATTGTATACAAACAAGTTCGTTAGCCGCTAAAAATAGTGTCTTATTATTCTTTCGTTTCCTTAAAAGCTGAAGCTTTACTTTAATCACTTAATAGTTCATATAGATAACCCCAGATAATGCAAGCATTGCATTCGATTGCAGTCCCTGCTCTTGCACTATGCAAGCTCTGGAATCAGTTTCAAATCAGCATTTAACTCGTTCAGTTCGCAATGAGCTCTCTCCATCTACTTCTGGCCCAAGGACTTCTCCTCCTGCTCCTCGTGGAATTGGGATGGACTTTGGTGAGCGATGAGGAGTGGGCTCAGTACAAGGCTAAATACGACAAGCACTACAGATTTAAGGATGGGTACCATCGCGATCTATATAACAAGAGGGTCCAAGCTGTCGCCGACCACAACGAACGGTATTCCCAGGGCCTGGAAGGATACCAAATGGGATTAAACCAGTACTCCGACACAGACCAAAGTGTCCTCTACAGTTATCGAACGTCGATCACTCCGCCCACGGAGGAAGTAACCAAGGGAGTTCCGGAACCGGAGAACTACAAGCACTATGACGAAATAACCGAAGGTATCGACTGGCGGGAGTATGGATACATCTCGGCAGTCGGAACACAGGGTACCGAGTGCCTGAGCTGTTGGGCCTTCTCCTCCTCGGGTGTTATTGAGGCGCATCTGGCCAAGAAGAACGGAAAGTTGGTGCCACTTTCACCCAAACACTTAGTCGACTGTGTTCCCTATCCGAACCAAGGCTGCAATATGGGTTGGGTGAGCATCGCCTTTAACTACGTGAGGCATAATGGTATCGCCACTAAAGCATCATTTCCCTACCAACCCAAAAGTGATGAGTGTCACTGGGACCCAAAAAACAGTGCTGGCACCATACATGATCATGTAACCCTGACTGAAGGTGATGAAAAGGAACTAGCAGAGGTGGTGTACAACATTGGTCCCGTGGCAGTATCCATCGACCACCTTCACGATGAGTTCGTCCAGTATTTCGGTGGCATCCTTAACATCCCGTCATGTGGATCAGCCAAAAGCGACCTCACGCACTCCGTTCTTGTCGTGGGCTTTGGAAGCCATCCCAAGTGGGGAGACTACTGGCTAATAAAGAACTCCTTTGGAACAGCCTGGGGCGAGAGTGGCTACTTTAAGTTGGCCCGAAACGCCAACAACATGTGCGGAGTGGCAACCCTTCCCCAATATCCTATAGTTTAAGAGAATCGTTTTGGAAGGCCAGATTTAGCCTCCTTCGTAACATTGAGACTTAGCATTTCACTTCCAATTTGTATTTGTATAAGCTCTATTTGATGTTAATAAGAAAATAAAAACAGCCTTGGAAGACACTTTTAATGTTGTTAAATTTCTATGGCAGTATTATCATCCTGTAACTCAAACGGAAAAATAACACTTTCGTGGAAGTTGTGGTAGGTTGCGGAAGCAACGTAATCATTTTGTGTTTCTTGGAATGCAATCTCATGATAACTGAGAACTTGAATTTCCGACCACAGTACTAAGCGATAATGTTTAGAATTCAATCTTTCAATCTTTACGTCAATCCTGTACGGTTTTTATACCCATTACCCGTAGAGTAGAGGTAGATGCAAGTGAATTATCAAATATTATAAAGAATATATGATAAGGATCAACAGTCGAGTCAACATGGTAAGGAATATTTAATTAATTTAAATAGTTTTTCCCATTTTATGAAGAATTTAAGGTTATTAGGGGGGAGACGTCAACGTCTGCTCTATTATTCCAGCAACAGATGGCGCTGGAAAAACTGTAAGCGGCGCTGGTTTCTGTTAGAATGATTCTTTAAAAATGGATTAACAGAGTATGGGTATCTGATAGTCGTGGCACTTTAATGCTTTTTGTTTTTAATTTAGTTTGATGCAAATTGTAATATCAATTTGTTAGCACTAAGGCTGGGATTCCAAGAATGAAGTGCTGACTGCACACCGAGCGGGGGATAACCCGTAGACTACGATTCAGTATAAATTGTATATTAGTTTTTTGATAACAATTTATGAATATATAAATGGGTAATGTAATTTCATCCACGTAGAATTTTATAATAAATAACGCAATAGCTTGTAAGGGGAGGGCAACGTTTGCTTAGCAGTTTAGAGAATACAAGAGTATCTTTAGTCGGAGTAATTGAATTTCTTGTATTAATGATCTGATTAAATACGCACTACCATAACCACAGCTAAAATGGTTTTTGGATGGGGCTGTTTGCTAACCGCACTAAAGGAGAGCCAAGTACTTTAAATTTTTGATGTAATTACAGATTGGCCCGTTCTAAATTTGCCATTAATTGCGTGGTTCCCATACCAATGCCTGTGGCCGAAGTCCTTCTGAATGTCCTGCCATTTGTGACTCTTCGCCTGGAAGAAGGAGGACGACTGATTGAGCAGCGGATACGTCTGGACAATTGATAAAATGTGATAAACGCGCAGCAGGAGGAGACAAATGACTGCCAGTTTTGTGCATTAGCACGTGTCCAAGGTGGAGGCAGTATACAACACTAGTGCACTGAAAGAAATGATTGAAGGTCGTTTCTAAAGAAATATGGGATAAACCCAATATACTTTACAAATATAGCTCTAAATGCTTTTCAACGAAAAATTCAAATTGATTCAGCTTTTCTGGGCATTCCTCTTAAACACAGATTAATAGAATTTGGAACTTTAAACCCACAATTATTTCTCCCTGTGCAGCAGACAACAGGACTGCCAGGTGACTCGAGGCAGCCAGCCAACAAATTGAATTTATGGCCAGGGCTAAGCGTTTTGGGTGTCAGCCTGGTTAGGTCTGATTCATTTGCCAGATATAGCATATAGCCGAGCGGGCAAAGTGGATGGAGGGGAGAGCAGTGGGGCTGCTGCTCAAGTGCTGCTTTTAATTTCCGACTCAAGCAGTTGGCGATTTGCCGGCCCTGCGGCCTACAAACAATTTCAAGCAATTTGCCTAAAAGTGGGCAACTAGGAGGTGGGCGTGGCAATGGATGGCTGCCCGTCTATCTGGGGGCATGCATCTAAATGAACTTTGCGTGCTGCCCAAAGGAAGAGCGAGACGGGACTATGACCACAGAAGGAGACAGCGACAGTTACAGATACTGGGAGTCAGTGACAGAGCCCCTGGGGACAGCAGGCAACTCTCACAGTGATATGATAAAAATTTACCAATGTGAATAATTTATAATTGCCACGCAAGCAACTAAGAGATCTAACGACACACTGGCAAAATTCTAATCAGACTTGCAGATAAAAAACATACTCCTCCGAAGGTTCATCACACTTCTAGGGAACTAAAATATAATCAATAATATTATAAATATATTTCTGAAAATATATATAAATTATTAAAATTATTTATTTGCAAAAACATCTCAATATTTTAGGATAAAAACTTGATCACATCCAACTCGATTTCGCTCAGTTTGGCTCCTCCTTCCTGGCAATATGCAAATCCTGACATTTCTGATGTGTTATCAAAAACATTTTTTTGTGCTTATTGTTTTTTATTATTTATCGCATTCGCAGTTTACCGCGTTGAAATCGATTTGCATACTTCAGGAAATGCCTACGACAGCGATTCCTTTTTTTATTTGCCCGAATCGAAACTGGCAGGAAAAAATGGGGGGAGGAGTTGAAGAGACTTGCCAATGTTTGCAATAGTTCCTGAAAAAATCACAGGCCCGCAGGAATTCGGCATTTCGGAAAGGCCAGGCGCCCTTCAAGTGCCATCAAATGTCAGCAAACTATAAAAATCCACATAAATGTATCGCAAATTCCAGGGAAAATCATAAAAAGCATATGAAATCAGTTTGCAAATGGAAAATGGTTTATGAAAATGTACAGCTTTGTATATGCATTTGGTGATTGGGCGAATTTTATTAAACTGTTTTGGTGTAGGTAGAGTTTACCTCAATTTTCGTCGTTTAAAATGAATTATAAAAAGTTAATAATTCGTGGTACCGCCAGGTCTTCAATACATTATATTTCACTTAACTTGTGTGATATGTTTGGAAGTATTTAACTTCTAATACATTTTTGAAAATAGTTTAGTCTAATTCTTATTATTGCAATGCCTAAACTTTAGGCCCCAAAATAATAAAGCCTTCGGAAAAAGGAGGTTTTTTAGATTTAATAAGTCCAATCCTAGTTTATAAAGTATATTCCAGAATCATATTAAACTTTCTTATATATATGATTTCTTTATTAGTCATTCTGTTTCCATCAGATTTCAATGTTCAAGTTTGATTAACTACAAATTCCTCATTAATATTTCACATATTTTATTCGCCGTCGAATATTAAGTTGTCATCATTGTGGATCGAAGTTTTCGCCGTTTCTTCTCCCATTTTCATAGTTAAGCCGTCTTAGGCCAAACATTTTCAATGGCCGCCCCAAAACGACTTAATGTGAAGTTGGTAGAAAATCCCAACCCTCCCACGCACTCACAGTAAGTTTCGGCATCTCAAAATCGACATTAGCGGAATTAAAAGTTTTTCCATGCGGTGGAAATCTTGATAGAACGAAAAAAGGAAAAAAGTTTCGCACTTCCGCTTTATTAAGCGGCATAGCAAGGCGAGGCGAGGCGAGGCAAAAGAATGAAACAAAAGGCGAGGAAAAGTTTCCTTTCAACGAACATTATAATTAATACCCCGCCGCATTCGTGTTGTTAATATTCCAGAAATCCAACTAAGAAATCCATTTCCACTTAAGCAGCTTTACAAACGGCAATTATTATCTTTCTATTATGCAGATTAATGCAGTCCGGGCCCGAGTGCTGCTATCAACTCGGCCACAAATCACCGACACCAGCCGCCTTAATGCAATTCAATTAATTCAGCTGGGAATCTAATTGGAGATATCAGTTTTTGGTGTCAAAATAAACCGATGAGAAACGAAAACAAAAATATTGGGTTACCCCTACCTTCACCGGTTAAAGCCAAGAAACAAATCCAAATTGCAAAAGGCGGATGGCAGATGTCGGCTGACGGTTGGCGGTGGGGTGTGAGTGACGTCATTACGTAATCAAATCAAATAACAATTTGTACTTTGTTAAATTTCTTGTCGCCATCAATATTGCCGGCTGTCTTCGCCCCGGCCAAAAACAAAAAATGCAAATTTCCAGTGTTTTTTTTTTGGTATTTCTTTGATTGTTGTTTGTCGCCTTTGTGGCTTATTGTTTTTGGCTTCGATGTTTCTGTGTTTTATTACGTGACAACTTTGAATTAGTCGCTGGGTTTTGGCTTTGGCTTTGCCTTTAGATTCGTTCGGTTTCGATTGTTTGTGCTTCGCCTTTGATGCCAGCTTTTCGCCATCTCTCTCTGTTTTCCTGGCCCCTGGCACCGTCTCTTTCTACTTACCCCTAGCCCTATCTCTTTCTAGTGTGGCGCAAAATTACTCGGTGTCGCATTTTTATTGCCCATCTGACACATAAAGTCAAGTGGCGGACTCAATCGAAGACAGACCCCTCAATGGGTTAAAGTGGGCCGAAGTGGGTCGAAGTGGGTTAAAGTGGGTTAAAGTGGGGCGGGGCAAGGACAGGTTTATGATTCCAAGCTAAGGAAATATGACCATTGCAGTCCATATTGACAATCAGTCAGTCACGAAAAACAAAACGTAATGGAAGCTTTCCGGGGGAAAAATGTTCCAAGAATATTCAGAATATTCAAAAGATTTTAATTTTTAATCACAGTGACTTTTTTGACTGTTTTCTGTTTAAATAGTAAAATATTATTCTTTTGGCCTGACTAAGCTTACATTATATTCCTTATAACTGAAAGAAGGTTCGGCTAGGAAAGCAATAAAGTCAACTTTTTATAACGTCGTGGAAACTTCATATTAAAGTGAATCTGTAAAATAAATAAAATCTGTGTTTTGAACTTAATAACTTACTTCTTAATTCATAGCTGTCCATATTTTGATAGGAAAGACAATCAATGTAACTATGAAAACATTGTAAAAAGTATCTTTTTTGCCATTAAAATATGTTTTTTCCCACTGTGATTCTAATAAATGAATAAATCATTTGAACTTCCATCCACTCACCATCTTAAACCCAAAATCCCGATTAACTCCGCAATTTCAAAATCAAAACCTAATTTGTCTGCAAATGTAACTAAATTCATTTGGACTATCGCGATTAGATGGGTTTGGGCGAGATTCTCGAACTGTTGTTGTTATGCTAATTAAGACGGAAAACTAATTTCGCCTAATTAATGATGACCGATTAAAATGGATTGGCAAATAAGCTCCGCCCAGATGGAGATAAGGCATCCCGGGTTAACAACTTAACCTGCCAACTGACCAATTGGAGACCCAAGAAAGTGCAAAGTGCAGCCCGACATTCCCATTCCAGTTGAACTGGGCAAGGTGTCACATATCAAAGTCGTCCGACAAACAGACAAACATACAGATGGACAAACAAGACAGACAGACTGGCAAACAAACAAATTGAAAACCAGACAAACTGGCAGACAGTCAGTAAGAGAGTGGCATACCTAGCATTTGGAAGAATTAGCTAATTAAAATAATACTTAATCCAAGAAAATCGGAATAATTTTTGATGACATTACAACTTTTGAAGTACTTGCGATTATACTTAAAATCAGTAATCCTTTCACATTAATATTTAGTACATACTCCTTCATATCTCTATGCATTTGATAACTTTAAAGATTCTTGAATAATATTTAACATAAATATATCTTTAAAACCTATAGACCTTAAAGCGTCTTATAAGTAAAAATAATCGTTTTAAGCGGTAATGTTTATTCTGTAATGTTTTTAAATCTTAATAATCAACAATCATTGACATAAGACATTATTTAGTTCGTAAAATCAAAAACATTTTGTCTAAATGCTTGAGATAATTACAACTTTTAAAAGTTAAACATTTTTTTAAATAATCAATAATCAATCTAGTATATCTTTCATAAAACACCTCTTTTTATTCAAATTCAAATTTTTAAGAGAAGATTAATTTTGCTGCAGCACTCGCTGGGACTTTGAGGTTTTGCGAAACGAATCGTGTTGGGCCTGGTTTTGGTAAAATCGAAAAGCGGAGAAGGGAACGCGGGAGGGGCGCTTTTCACGTTCGAATCAATTTGCGAAATTTATTGTATTTAAACGTTTAGCGCCAGTGTGAACCTGACCAACCGCAACAATAACACATGAAGTGGGAAAATATAACCGAAGCCTCGATGCCCTTGCCTTGGTTAGGGGATATATTTTCTCAAACGAGTAAAAACTTTTCCCAAGGCTTGGCTATAAACTATTAAAATATTGTCTTGCCTTACAAGTACTTAAGCAATTAAAATAAAACTAAAAGCTTAACTTTAAGCAGGTTAAAGCACTTGTAAAGTTTGTGTTAGCTTGTGAAAAAGATAAGAGTAAGTAATTTAATTTGAATTAATAAAAATATATATCTTAGATTCAAGTTTATGTACTATAAGTACTTTCACACTGAAATATAAATCAATTTGTAATAAAATATTTTCTTTTAGTACCCATTTAAGCTGAAGTACTCTGTCGGCAGTAAAAGTGAATTCCATTTGCAGTAGGCCATACAAAAAGCATTGAGCGAGTCGTTGGCCAAAGCCGCTAACTCGGCTTAAATTACGTGAGCGTTCAGTCAAGTTTAGGCCAGGTTTAATCAGAGAGTTGCGGAGGGGCTTGATCGGAGAGTTTAGGCCGAGATTAAGTGATGTTTGATCAGAGAGTTAGAGGTGGCAAAGTGAGAGGCAAGGAAAGGTGCACTGCAGCCACTAGGTTTGGGTTTGTTTACACGCGGCCGATTGCGTGGCGTCTGCCCAACATTGGGAATTATTTAGTTTTTATTTTCGCACATTTTGCATAAATTAAGGTGCCAAGACTGCAGACCTGCTAGCTGCCTGGGCTCTTGGCCTCTTGGGCTTGCGAGCCAGGTTCAGTTACCAATTTCGTGTGCAGCCGTTCGGTTTGAATGCGGCATGGCGTGGACACTGTGAGCCCACAGCGATCGAATGGAAATAAAAGCCACTCTCAGCCCAGGCGAATCCCCAATCCCAGCTCTATAATGTGTGCACAGTTAAGTGGATCGAAGGTTGTTGTGCTGATGGTGGGGCTAGTGATGCTATCGACGCCACCTGCCAGTGAAAGTGCCAACGTCCCGGATCGCCGATATCCCGCTGGAGTCGATTTCTTTGAGCACGAATTCACCAGCGTGGCGGAAGGTTCGTCCCACTCCCAGTTTTTCTTTAAAAACTAAACTAAATCATGGAATGTGTTTTATTTGTTTTTAATTATTCATAAATTAAAATAAATAATATAAAAAACCATTAGTATAAATTAGTATAACACCCTTTTTTAACTCGGGAGTGATAGCAGTTTTTAATGTGAGATGAATTCCACTTTTAATAACTAAAGGCATCCTTCTTTGCAGATGAATACGATCCCTATGGGCCCGACATTGGTGACGACGACTTGGGGATCGACGATCCGGAGACAATGCCGCGGCTTTTCCAAGGAGACATTGCCATTGACCCATACACCTACATAACCCTCCGTCTGGGTGTTAATCCAATGAGACATCCTAAGCGACTCTGGCCAAATGGAACGATTCCCTTCGAGATCAGTCCACGATACGCCAATCCCGAAAGACAGGCCATAATTCAGGCCGTGAAAACGTTCAACTCCCTAACTTGTGTGAGATTTGTTCCGTACGATGGGGAAGTAGATGATTACCTGCTGATCGAGCCACCTATAGAAGGACCCCAAGGATGTTGGTCGTATGTGGGAAGGAGAGGCGGAGAACAGGTGGTGTCCCTCCAAAGACCCGACGAAAACAGTGCCCACTGCTTCAGCAGCGAGGGAAGGATAATGCATGAGCTGATGCACGCCATCGGGATTTACCACGAGCAGTCCCGGGCTGATCGCGACAACTTCGTCAAGATCCACTGGGACAACATAGTGCCGCGATTCAGGAAGAACTTCAAACTGGTGTCGAAGAAAAAGGGGAAGTACGCCTTCGATTACGACTACAACTCGGTGATGCACTACGGGGAATTCTACTTCAGCAAACGGAAAGGGGAAAAGCCCACCATGACCCCTTTGCAACCCGGGGTAAGGATCGGCCAACGGAAGACCATCAGCAAGATCGACTGCCTCAAGATCAACGAGCTCTACGGCTGCCTGCAGGGTCGCAGGGCCAAGATGTACCGCAGTTTCTGCCATCTACTTGGCCTGTAAAGGAACAACGGATAAGAGATTTTATAAATCACATTGATTTGTTATTTAATAAATTAATTCGTAGACTTTAATAATATTGAAACTAGACTATGATTTAATCTTGAATTCTACAGTTGTAAGGGTATATCATATTCCACAGATACTGTCCTACTGATAATTATACTGTTCTGATCTCGTAAATCGTACTTTTTGAAGAAACTGATTGAAAAAAAGAATGCGAAAGGCAAATAATTGCAGAGGCTGAAGAGGTTCATTCTTTAAATCTAGTTTTATTGGTGTCACAAACTGAAATCATCGATTGTAGTTTGCCACTTAGAGCAAATACATATACACTTTCGTCAAAAAATACATATGTATATATTTTTGTACTATTTGTCGGAACAAAGCTAAATTTTGTACATGCATTCATTCCTAAAAATATTCTACAAAATACAAGAAATTTATGTATTTACATTACAAGTTTATTTTCGCATTTCCTTAAATTTTGAATAACAACGTGTTGTTACGAATTTTTTTTACTTGAAATCCTGCTTTTTTTTTTATTTTTTACATATTTTGCGAAGATAAATGAAATAAAATGAAATGCCTGTAAACCGCATGTACTATTAAATTCAACAAAACTATTCCACCATTTAAAGAGGTACAATTTTGGTATTATATTTTTATTTTTAATATATAAAAACACAGTTTTTTAAATGCTTTCGAAATTTCCGAAGGGATTTATAAAAAAATGCATTCCTGGTTTTGTCAGAATTTCGTGAATTAACCAAACGGGTTGAGTCTTTGCTAAATGCCAATCGTGGTTCCTATTTATTTTTTATAGAAATAGAAAAAAGTTTAAAATTTTACTAATAATAGAAGATAAAGAAAATCTTAAAACTAAGTGTAAACAGTAAAAACAAATAGCAAATTATGGTAATTATTGGTGCAATTTATATAGCTAAAACAAAGTCAACAATTATCGTGTAAAATGCGCCAATAACAATAAAACATCGATAGCCGAGGTCGAGTAAACACCACAGACGGTCACTCTAAAAGGATTTCATTCATAAGCATTCAGCTGCCACACTGAGCCCTAGCTCGATTTTTCTCCACCGTCTAGGGTCACTCTAATTTTGGACGAGGTTAGGTAAGACACGCGCGGATAACGCGCTGCGAGGAGAAACCAATCCTCTATTAGCATAACCGAAAAGTGTATTTTGGCCGCGTTAGATTATGCTTAAATTAGTGCAATACATAGCCCCTCGGGTGGGCGGCGCAACGCCCAAATCGGCCGCTTGCGGCTGGGGCAACTTGCTATTGATTTCCCCGAGCAGTTCAGAGAAATGTATAACGCAACGTCGCCATTTTCTTTTCTCCTCTGCCAGCAGCGGCAATTTCGCTTCTTCATCGCTCTGCATCGAACACCGACAACAGTTCCACGGGAGTCACAGGAATCGGAATTGGGAGAAATTAGCCGATCATTCACTACTATCCCACTGCAGTTATAGTAGTCCCCAGATCCAGTCGCAGCGTGCGTTTCGAGACAGTTCGAAACTAGAACCGGACGACTCCACAGATTCCATCCCGAAAGCAGGGCAGCGGACGAGAAGGAAATCGCTTTTTAACGATCCCGACGAGAGTTCAGAGGAAATCAAGATTGAAGGAATAATGTAAGTACCTATCTATTTCTTGATGAAATGCGTTTGGTTTCTTCCACTGTCGCCATTTTATCAACCTTTCTGTTATTTCTCTTCTTTTTTTTCTGTACACCTAAGAGGTGAGAGTGAGAGGTGATGAGTAATTAGTGGAAGAAAATAAGGGGAAAGAGAGAAAAACACATGGTTTGCTAAATTTTGACAGTTGGAGGTGAGGTTTCACTGCTTCTTCTTTGTTTATCCCCCACATCCGCAAAGGGAATAGCAAAAGCAACAAGAACGACAGCGCACGTCATAAAAAGAATTTGCCTGATTTGTGAAACGTGTTCTTGCTTCGTTTGCTTTTTTATAGCATTTTAATTTGTCTGTATGCCCCGAACACGAACACGCGCACACACACTAGCGCTAGCACACAGCGGCACATGAATAGGCTTCTATGTGTGTTTGTGTGCATGTATGCCTGTTGACGGCGGCATTTTCGCGTGCTTGTATAACAGTTTCTCGATTGTGTGTGTATAACAGTCGGCGGCTGTCACTGGCTATCGCCATCCCTCTCGCTCGCCAGCATGTCTTTCTCTCGTGCTCTTTCTTCCGCTCACACGAGGTTTTGAAGAGATATCGCGATGTTTCTCGTAGTTTTAATAATTTATGGTGAAGCTAAGATTCAAGTTTGAGCAACTAAGTGACCTTAAATCAAACTATTTAATTACTATTAATGTGTACTAGGTCAATGGTATTTACGTAACTTTATACACATTTGTTGTGTTTAACTTTAATAACATTTGTTACATTTTTATTATTATTGGTTTCATATTATTTAGGTTTACAGTCCAACCAAGAGGCATAGAGTAACAAAACTAATTTTATCAAATTTCTGAAAAATCTGAAACTTAACATTTTAGCGTTACTTAAAAAAAACTACTGAAGTATTAACTGAATGATAACTTTTAAGAACATCTTATTTTTTAATTTATCCAATTTCTGTTGTTTTCTATCTATTCTTAGATAATATATATTAAATATAAATAATAATTAATTCTAATTTGATTGGATAACTTTGATAGAAAACTTAGGTTTTATGTACATATAAATTCAGCAGCATGAAAATATTTTTAGAATTTTTGTTATCGTCTTTTTCATTCGAAAGTGTTATCGCTTATTTTTTTTTGCGTCGTATTTTAATAGTTTTAGTCACAGTTCAGCACCCTTCTGAACGTAAATCATGTGAGTTCGAGAAATAAATAAGTGTCTGTCATATAAATGGTAGCCTTATAGTATTTTAATGCCCCAACTATCGTGTATTGAATTCTAATAGTAACCTAGTTCGTGAACTAACCCATCACATAAACGGCCCCATTAGTCTAAAATGTCAAATGACGCCAATTGATTATGATGAGGAGTTTCCCCCTTTTGGCGAGCTCGCGATTCGTCTTTTCGCATGTCAAAAAGCGACAGGTAGACACACAGAAAGTCAGAGGTGCCCCTTGCGACACACACCCAGCCGCCCTCCCCGGGCGTTTACTGCCTCGAAACTACGGACAAGACATTTTGCTGTCTCATAAATGTTCAGAGCGTTCCGCTCCGCTAGTTGGGCACAAATGTTAGCGTGCCACTGGGCCCTGCAAATAGACTTTCGAGGCGGGATGGGGCTCCAAATTGACAGAGCGATAGACAAGCAAACGGGGGATTGGATCGAGGGTTGGATTTGCATAGTGCACCCCATAGAGATGCCAAGTGAGGATCGAGGAAATAGAGCTAGAAAATGGTAAAAGGTATATACCTATTTAAGAAAGGTGGGGCATCAGCATAGTCCAATGATGAAAAATTAACTTATTCAGTATCTAATTTGGCATTGGACTGATTGACTTTTTTTCTCTTTCGACTTGGACTTGGAATCATAATGCCATGATATAAGTTTAGTTGCCACTACGAACTATAGCCAGATCTAACTATAAATTAGACAACTTTCCAATACTGTCACCAGGTTGATTAATGCCAGAGCAATAAACACAGTGCTTTGTGCGCGGGGTTGTTCAGTTGAGCAGTTTAGGGCAGGGAAAGTGGGGTGGAAAAGCATTGGGTGGGAGGGAGTAACAGTAACCCTGCTCGAATTGCATGTTGTTGTCAATCAAACTTGCTTTACTGTTTGTATTATTCGAAATTTATTTAATTTCCCTAACACGCAATTAGTTTTATTTAAGTTTATTGCGGTTGTAGCAGAACTCCATGTCAGCTGTTTAGCAGCGTCGAAAGAAATCGAAATCGAAAAGCGAAGAGCAAAGAGTTACTTTCCAAGTCGCAGAGACCAGTCGCAGTTGAAATCCAAACCCCAACTAGCAGACGTCTATAAACGGCAGCATGCGAGCAAAGTAAGCCAAGTCACTCGTTTCTTTCTCCCCAATTTTCTGCCAAAGAAATACTTAAGAAAAGAAAATGCAGCTGTCGAGGCCAAGCCGGAAAATCAAAAGTTTCTTAAATTTCTGAAGGCTCTTCTTCGACCTTAAAGAATAATACCCGAATTAATACCAAAAGAGGTTGTTGGCTGAAAAGCGCAGCAAGGAATGATTCTAGATTCAAGATAAGAAGCAATTGATTAAACAAATGTACAGCGAAGGCAAAAAAAAAATAATTCAGTACGACGCTAGTTAAATCGGCAGAATACTACTTTAAAGTTTGCACGAAGTTTTTAGGGAATTTTAATAACTATTGTCTAGACAAATACTAAATCTCAATGTTTTGAAATAAACTTGATTCCCTTTTTCCAACGAAGCGCCAAATTTCTCAATTCCAGAGAAACTTGAAGCAGCAAAATATACAAACTGAAGTTGTTTGTTTTCAGTGAATTATTCAAAGCTCTTGAAAATGGACACCAATTAAACTTTGGATACTGCAACTTAAGCATATATGGAAGACAGAAATACAGAAATTATTTTTTTGGCCCGGAAAGCGAAACCCCTATATCATAACACTCATGACTAAGCTCATTACTATTTTCATCCATTTGGTATGGCAGTAGTCTTCGATTTAGATTTCGTTAGATATACATCAGTGAGAACGCAAAACGATTAAAAGCAATACATATTTAGAAAACATTAAATAATAGCTAAATAGTAAACGCCTTAAAATAAATACAACATTAAGTTTTCAAGATTTTCACTAGCACTCTTGGAATTTACCTGAGTCAAGTTTCTAAATATCATATGACTATAATTTTAAAAGAAACGACCAATATCACTTTGAACTTTAAAAACTTGCAAAAAGAGTTGAACAACCAAAACTTAAAAATATTGCTACCTTAAAGCAATCAATGCTGCAAGATGATGTCTCAAAATTCTTTTCTTGAGCGTTCCTTTTCTATGAAGTGCTTAAAATAAAACTTCTTTTACTGATCTTCTACCGATTCATTTCATTTTCAGGGCACCACACGATCGCGACTTTGGTCACAGTGGACGTGGCGGTCGCGGAGGCGATCGAGGAGGTGATGACAGAAGAGGAGGTGGCGGTGGCGGCAATCGCTTCGGAGGTGGCGGCGGTGGTGACTACCATGGCGTGAGAAATGGTCGCATCGAGAAGCGTCGTGATGACCGCGGAGGCGGCAACCGTTTTGGAGGTGGAGGCGGTGGCGGTGGATTTGGAGGCGACCGTCGTGGAGGTGGTGGAGGCGGAAGCCAGGACCTTCCCATGCGCCCAGTCGACTTCTCCAATTTGGCTCCCTTCAAAAAGAACTTCTATCAAGAGCACCCCAACGTGGCCGGCCGTTCCCCCTATGATGTTCAGAGGTATCGCGACGAGCAGGAGATCACAGTGCGTGGACAGGCGCAGAACCCAATCCAGGACTTTTCCGAGGTCTATCTCCCCGACTACGTCATGAAGGAGATCCGGAGACAAGGCTACAAGGCGCCCACCGCCATCCAGGCCCAAGGCTGGCCCATCGCCATGAGTGGCTCGAACTTCGTGGGCATTGCCAAGACTGGATCCGGCAAAACTCTGGGATACATCCTGCCCGCCATTGTCCACATCAACAACCAGCAGCCGCTGCAGAGAGGCGATGGTCCTATTGCTCTCGTCCTGGCACCCACCAGGGAGCTGGCCCAACAGATCCAGCAGGTGGCCACCGAATTCGGTTCCTCGTCGTATGTGCGCAACACCTGCGTCTTCGGCGGTGCCCCGAAGGGAGGTCAAATGCGGGATCTGCAGCGCGGCTGCGAGATCGTTATTGCAACTCCCGGACGCCTAATTGATTTCCTATCCGCCGGATCTACTAACCTGAAACGCTGCACCTACCTGGTCCTCGACGAAGCCGATCGCATGTTGGACATGGGCTTCGAGCCCCAGATCAGGAAGATCGTCTCGCAGATTAGGCCCGATCGCCAAACGCTTATGTGGAGTGCCACATGGCCTAAGGAGGTCAAGCAGCTGGCCGAAGACTTTTTGGGCAACTACATTCAGATCAACATTGGCTCGCTGGAGCTGTCCGCCAACCACAACATCCGCCAAGTGGTGGATGTTTGTGATGAGTTCAACAAGGAAGAGAAGTAAGTATCTTCTTCATAAGTTTGGTAACAATTCATCAGAATATATGAAACTAACCATTTCCTTCTTTTTCAAACAAGATTGAAGACCCTCCTCTCCGACATCTATGACACCAGCGAGAGTCCCGGCAAGATCATCATTTTCGTGGAAACAAAGCGGCGCGTGGACAACCTTGTGCGCTTCATCCGCAGCTTTGGCGTCCGCTGTGGAGCGATTCACGGCGACAAATCGCAATCAGAGCGAGACTTCGTCCTGCGCGAGTTCCGCTCGGGCAAGTCCAACATTCTGGTGGCCACCGATGTGGCAGCCCGAGGACTTGGTAAGTTTGCCGCCATATCGGCGTAGTATATCTCGTAGATTGCGGCCAGTGGATTGAATGTTTTGGAGGGGCCTGCTAGCGATAAGGATACACTTGCTAGGACCATTGCTTACATGCCATTACTACAAGAGAAAACCGCACCTAACCAATCACCCACCATCATTACACACCATACACCACCCAAAACATGCGAGCGAAACCCAATCCCACTGAAAACCCAAAGCCCGAATCCTTTAACTGCACCTAGAGATATATCGAATCCACATCTAGCGAGAGCGCCAATTCAGAAACAGTTTCTTAGACATAAGCCGAATGCCAAAATCGAATAATCAACTTGAACTTTTACCCCATCCCCTGACCCACAACCCTCCCCCACCCGCAACACCCGACCCAACCCCTGCTAAAAAATGTTAAAACAATATGCGTATGCCCCATATGCATTGCGGTGTACCTGGTACACACAACTTTTGTCTTTGTGCGTGTCTCTGCCTCTTTCTCTCTCTCCCCTCTCTCTTTCTCTTTCTTGTTTCTTTCTCGTTTACAGAGGCCGATTTTGGTAGTATGATGGGGAGGATAATGAATGAGCGGCGACCACTGCGAACACTCGTGACTTGAGCGACTTTTGCCAACATCAGAATCAGATCTGTTATTATGATAAATGATGATAGCACACCCTGTGTGATATTATTGCGCAAAAGGACCGATGAAAGTTCTCAGATTCAGACGGTCGAGAGACACGAATATCGAATATCCCCAACATCATGCATCATATGTGGCCTCTGCAGTCCCCGACTTTTTGTTGAGAAAGAATATGATATGATATGCTATATGATACGTTTTTGCGACCAAAGACTACCATCTACCAACCAAAACAACCAATCAACCAAAGATCCAACAACAACAACTGAACCGAGCCATCAGAGAGCCTGCTTTTTCCCCAGCAGTGGAAGGCGGCGTGCAAAGTATCGATGGGGTGGCCTGGCCCTTGAGCAAGCACATGAATTGGACATGCACCAAGTCGACAGCAACAGCCATAGCAATCCAAAAGCAAAGCACATTGACACCACCCACAACACACATATCACACTCCCAAATAAGAACACCCAACATTTGCTTGAACCAGAGAGGACGAAAGATCAGGAGATGAGATGTGTGTGCTTTCGAGGATCGAAGGATCGAAGGTGCTGCTGCTGAGTGCTACGTCCAGCAAAATAATCACAACCACCCACAGCCCGCGTTTGCCGCCGCATCGAAAAAAAACTAAGCCCACTGCTTCTGGATGAAAAGGCGGCCCGCTTGTTGTTGTTAATCCTCCCAAAAAGTTGAAATCTATATAATGGTCGTTCTCCTCTCGGTGGTCATCTCCAAAAATGGTCCACGTGAGAAAAGAGCTTAGTCAGAGGCGCACGCGGCTCAATGCAACAAACTCTCCGCTTCGCCGTGCGATCGAGATCGCTACCTTGTTGTTTCTGGGGAGAGTTTGGACCACGAGCTGCGCGACGCCAATCAGAGATTTTGATTGAGAGAAAAATTGAGTGAAACAATTTATAGCACCAAGAAGGTAACGTACATTTTGAAACATTTTCTTTTTTTTTATCTAAAAAAATACATACAAAAACCCACAAAACAAAAAACTACCATAGACTCGATAGTATGCTAACGTAAAAATAAAAAAAAGAAAAGACAAGTGTGTTCAAAGTGTTCAAGACATCTCGGAAAAACGCTAAAAATTGTTGCAAGCGAGCGTGCAGAGCGGAAAATCATTTGGCAATTTAAAAACTGTTCGTCAATTATATTATATATTCCCCGATTAATTAGTAAGAACAGCCCAGAACTCTAGCCTAACATGTATGCCTTATTTTTTCCTCGGACATATCTGTAGACGTGGACGGCATCAAGTATGTCATCAACTTTGACTACCCGCAAAACAGTGAGGACTACATCCATCGTATCGGACGTACAGGACGATCCAACACAAAAGGCACCTCCTTCGCCTTCTTTACCAAGAACAATGCCAAGCAGGCCAAAGCGCTCGTCGACGTCCTCAGAGAGGCTAATCAGGTGAGTTGTCGCCTCGGGAATGAGGAAGTATAAAAACAGCTTATGGAAATCCTTAAAACCTGATATATAAGCTGCTTTTAAGGGATTAAATATTTGTAATGAGTTCGATTTTAATGATGGTTCATTTTTCTTCCAGGAAATCAATCCTGCCCTGGAAAATATGGCCCGCAACTCGCGCTACGACGGTGGCGGCGGACGCTCCCGTTACGGAGGCGGTGGTGGTGGCGGTCGCTTCGGCGGCGGCGGCTTCAAGAAGGGCAGCCTGAGCAATGGACGCGGCTTTGGAGGGGGCGGCGGCGGCGGCGAGGGCAGACACTCGCGCTTCGACTAGATCGGGGCGGAAGAGCAGTAATAGAAGCTATAGGAACAGGAGATTTCAGTAGCTAAACTAAACCGCGCTAGGCCCTAAGTTAAATTAAGTTAATAGCCTAAGTTTAAGTTTTCGTACAACTTTCACCGAACCGCTAACGGTTATTCTCAGATTTAAATTCAGACTTTTAACCCCATAGTTGATGGAACCCAACAAAAAGATAGCTATTTGAACATAGCGTAGGTTATTTGACGCTAAACCGTGAGGTTGGCATAACACAATCCAATTGAAAACATCAAAAACACTCTTTACTTAAACGCAAAAACCAATTTTCAAATATCATGTGATAATTTCTTAATTTAATAATGCAACGTATCACTAAACTAAAACAAATGAAATCGTAGCGCGAGGAGTATATTGATGATGGTAGTGAAGGAGATGTGGAGAAAGTGTAAGGATCATTCCCGTCTGTCCCGTCTTGATGACAATGAACAAAGGCTGACGAGCGACCTTTGTTTGATATAATAAATAAATTCTTCAATTTACTTTTGGAAAATTAACTTTTTGGATACCTTTTATGGCTCAACAGGAATGTTTCTGTGTACGATAAAGTAAAGGAATCAAAACAAATGGGAAATCACATTAACTACCGACAACTGACACTAAATACAAAAGAAAAACTGTATATGTACAAGATGAGAGTTTCTCACTTTCAATTTAATTTTTCGAAAAAATAATAAACGTGTGTGTATACCTACTACAACCTAAACCAACAACAAACCTGCAGTTTTATGTATTGAATTCAAGTAAATTGCTGGCTGGTGGCCACAAAGGAATTCCATTTTTCCTGAAAGGTTGCGGGTGTTAAATAATCGTGATTGCAGAAATATTTTCGCAGGACATCATTAAGTGCTGCTTTTGCAAGGTGTCAATGCCAGTCCCTTCTTCAGTCAAGGGATGCCTGCGTAACGGTTTTTATACATTGTATAGGCATTTCTTGCCTGAAAATGTTAAAAGGTAACGTTGAAACGATAAATTTAAACATGTATGTAATTGGGTAAAATTAGTTTATATATGTATGTATATGTACATACATAGTTCGAATTAAACAATATACCTATCTGAAGAAATCTTCTTTATTGAGTTATATTACTTGATTATGAATAAAAAATAAACGAAAAATGTCATCTGCATTTTTTTTTGGAATTTATCTCTATTTCACCACGTTCCTGGAATCGATAGTTGGCAACACAGAGGATAAATTAAATATGACGGATGAAAGGCCGGAGTGTCTGTCTTTTCTGACACCACATTTAGACGCAATGAAGCCAATTTACTTTCGACTTTGGCCTGTTTCGTGCTTTGGACTCCACGGACTCCCCGGACTTGTCCGCGGCTCTCACCCGTGCTCCTTATGACAAGTTAGTTGGGTTCTTGGGACCAGCCTGGTCTACTTACCCCATTTGTACAGCGGCCAAAGTTGGCGATTCCCCGCCCGATAATGACGCTTCTGGGGACGTAAATGTGGTCGGATTGGAGATCCTGCAATTCGTCGGCTGATGGGACGTCGCGTTCTTGCGGTTGCGGTGGAGCTGAGAAGGAAGTCATTTGTTAAATTGCTTGAAGTGGGCAATGCTTTTGGTGGGTGGAAAACTGGTTTAGTTTTTCTGTGATTGGCAATATGTAAAACCGAACCAACTGAGAGGGAATTCGTTGTCTAGTTTCAGGCGAAAGTTTATATTGGTCAGAATTATCTTTCTTTAATAAGTTTCTTAAAGTCAACCAATTGGTTTTTAGGTTTTCGGGGTTTGTATATAATTATTAATGGATGAAAAATATTTCAAATTCATGCTTTTAGTAACCAAATTTGTGAGCTTGAAATATGGCTTTCTTTATTAAATTATTATAAGACTTGAAAATTTGATAAGTTTGATTACTTTTATACACTTTAGTTGTGAAGTAAGAGTGTGTTTTAATGTTATTTTCCAACAGATACAGGTTTGAGATTAAGCAGGTAGATTCTTGAGGTACATACGCAGCGCAAGTTTATTTCAGCATCCTGCCACGCCCATTATAACGCGGAAACCTTTTGCGTAAATAATATTATAGTGTATGTCTTCGTTTGACCTTTTATAACATATTTTCGCCAATATCTATCGATTTACCAAAGATTTATTATTATTTCGCTATTTATGAAGAAATGAGTTTATAAGACTTGGGATGGAAAGTGGCGTCACCATCAGTTAGTAGACATGCTTTTTCGACAAAAGGTGGCGCTTCGTCGATTTCCAATAGAAACAAGAGGAAACGCTATAGTCGAGTGCCGCGACTATAAGATACCCGTTACTGTTTTACAAAATTTTAAAATATTATTTTGCTAGTGCCACCTATTGTCAGAGGAAGTATGTTGAGTATGCTTATAGTGACGTCACTGCCCATGTGAGGCCTTATAACTTAATTTCTTTATTAATTGGGAAATTATGTTCCGATTTGAAAAATCTTTAGTAAATCGATAGATATTAACAGAAATAAGTAATACAAGGTCAAACGAAGGCATTCATAATAATATTATAGACGCCAAAGTTTTCCGCGGTTTGTGGGCGTTAGAGTAGGTGGCAGGTAGGTTAGAGTTCGTGGCAAGTTGCAGAGGCATCTCTTAAATACGTGTTTTTAAGCAAAAATGTGTAGCATTTACAGTTTTTGAGATTCTGGCATTTTTGGTTTTTCGGGTTTTGTGGGCGTTAGAGTGGGCGTGGCTTGATCGGAAGAAAACAATTCGCATTGGGAGCATCATAAAAACCTACATGCTAAATCCGAACTTTCTATCTTTTATAGTTACCGAGATATTAGCTTTTCTAGAAAATCCGAAAACCGGCTTTTGAGCCTTGTGGGCGTATGGGTGGGTGTGGCCGGATAGTAGTACCACTATAAGATGCGCTGGCATCTAAAGATTATACTTTCTGAATTTCAACATTCTAACTCCAATAGTTCCTGAGATTTCAGCAATTTTAGTTTTTTGCGATTTGTGGGCGTTAGAGTGGGCGTGGCAGGATGCTGTAACAAACTTGCGCTGTCCCGGGACCTCAAGAATCTTCATGCTTAACCTAAACTTTTTATCTGCTATAGTTCCTGAGATCTCAGCGTTCATACGGACGGACGGACGGACGGACGGACAGACGGACATGGCTTAATCGACTTCGCTATTGATCCTGATCAAGAATATATATACTTTATAGGGTCGCAAACGCTTCCTTCTATCTGTTACATACTTTTCAACGAATATAGTATACCCTTTTACTCTACGAGTAACGGGTATAAAAATAATATTACAAAATTGTCTAAAACAGTAACGGGTATCTTATAGTCGCGGCACTCGACTGTATCGTTTTTATTTGATTGTATTCTGAGAATTAATTTGTATATGCATGTATTGTTTAATAAATAATATATCAATTAAAACTTTTTTCAGTTTTCAGTGATAACCTTTAAAAGTATCTTTCCTTGAACTACTTGCATTAAAATTCTTTAAAAGTGAATTTTTTCCAATAGATCAATTACTTATTTAAAGAACCGTCATTTGCGGTTTTTGGTAAATATTATATGTACTTTGGCACAATTCTTTTAGTTTAAGGTAAACCCATATAATAAAGTGGTAGTACTAAAAAAGAATGTAGTTTAAGCTGGTGATCTTACTTTTATTTGGTACCTACTTACGGTTTACAAATATTATTTTGAATTTCAGTTAACAATGGAAAAATAAATAATTACTCTTAAAGCGCCCAAAACAGTTTGAAATCAGCAATTAACTCCAATTTTATACATGAAACTGTTGCTTCACACACTTTGAAAAGATCAATCAGTAAGTTAAAGTTATAAATATAAAACAAATATGTAAAAAAAATGTAGCTATTATCAAAAAACTGATGTATTTGGATTTGCTTCATACTTGCTTGTAAGGAACTTCCAATCTAACTCATTTATCCTAGAAAGCGAAGATATCACTTATCGATTGTGTCTTTCACACTATCTGACATATGCTGGTGGGATATTTATTTTAGTATTTAAAATAAGGGTATCTCATAGTCGGGGTTTAGTGTGTTTAAGAGATGGTTGACTTATGATACAGAGACTTCCAAAAAAACCTTCCTAATTCTAAGAACATAAACATTAAAACCAGATAACGTAAGCCTCAAACTCGATTGCTGTTTCTTATCATGGGCTCTCCAAGCTATATAAGAGGTTTAAAAACATTCAAAACATCTTAAGTAATCAGTTCGCAATGAGCTCCCTCCGGCTGCTTCTAGTCCAAGGACTTCTCCTTCTAATCCTTGTGCAGTTGGGACTGACTTTGGTGAGCGATGAGGAATGGGCCCAATACAAGGCTCAATACAACAAATTCTACAGATTTAGGGATAGGTACCATCGAGGACTATATGACAAGAGAGTCCAATTAGTAGCCGATCACAACAGGCGCTATTTCCAAGGCTTGGAAGGGTTCGAAATGAGATTGAACCAGTTCTCCGACATAGATCAGAAGGTCTATTACAGTGATCGATTGTTGATTACACCGCCCACGGATGAAGAGTCTGGAGCCGTCAGGAAACCGTCAAACTACAAGCGTTACGACGAAATAACCAAAGGGATCGACTGGCGGGAATACGGATACATCTCGGGAGTTGGAACACAGGGTACCGAGTGCCTGAGCTGTTGGGCCTTCTCCTCCTCGGGTGTCATTGAGGCGCATCTGGCCAAGAAGAACGGCAAATTGGTACCACTTTCGCCTAAACACTTGCTCGACTGTGTTCCCTATCCGAACCAAGGATGTAAATTGGGTGGATGGGTGAGCGTAGCCTTCAACTACGTGAGGCAATTTGGAACCGCTACTAAGGCATCCTTTCCTTACCAACCCAAAAAGGATGAGTGTCACTGGGACCCAAAAAACAGTGCAGGCACCATACGCGGCCATGTAACCCTGACTGAAGGTGATGAAAAGGAACTAGCAGAGGTGGTGTACAACATTGGTCCCGTGGCAGTATCCATCGACCACCTTCACGATGAGTTCGTCCAGTATTTCGGTGGCATCCTTAATATCTCGTCATGTGGATCAACAAAAGACGACCTCACGCACTCCGTTCTCGTCGTGGGCTTTGGAACCCACCCGAAGTGGGGAGACTACTGGCTGATCAAGAACTCATTTGGAACATCATGGGGCGAGAGTGGATACTTCAAGTTGGCCCGAAACGCCAACAACATGTGTGGTGTGGCAACACTTCCCCAATATCCTCTTGTCTAAATTAATTGATTTAAAATTAATAAACTTCATTTGATATATGCATTTAAGGCTTAGTTTTGTTTATTATTAAGATTCTATGTTTTAACATATGAACAACTCAAATGGGAAGTGGAAGTTAAAGGTGGTGTTAAAGGCGATGAAGACCCTGTTGATAAGTTTGATGATCGAAAAATTAAAGATAATCAGTGGTGGCGTTGCTGTGAAGGTTTATTTTGAATATTCTTATTATTTTTTTTTAATGCCATTACTTAA